TAAAGATGGAACTGTGAGAGAAAAATAAGTCAATTCAGATGTGTTAGAGTTGTGTAATAAGTACGGGTATTTTTTTAAATCAAGTATAATCCAAGGTATTTTGGAAGATTACTTCTACTTTGTCTTTCTAAACTACCACAAATTCAATTTCTGAAGGCCGATAGTGGAAACACGATATTGCTCCTGTTGTTGATATTGAGCCAGCTGAGTTTTTCGTTACTGTCAGTTCTCTTCATGTTTGCTTGTCTAAAAGCTTTCCTGGTCAAACCAGACTGCTCAATTTGGGAAGAAAACAAAAGCAAGCCACATTTCAGTAACAAGGTACAACCTCACTATATTTTTTTAAACTTCGAGTGAAATTTTTTCCTTGTTGAAGGGTTTCCCTCATATTCCTTTGAAAAGAGCACTATGTCTCAGACTTACCACATTGCACATAGCTGCAAACAATGGCGCAGAGGAAGGCAACGACAAGGAAAACTTGATTCTTTGTACGATGCATTTTTCAGCCGTAACTGTGAGAAACTAAGAAATGTTACATTAACGCTAGATAGATGCCCACGATATTTCTGTAAGGTGCACGTACGACCATACTGAGCCCTTCCTTCTTCGTTTGTTTATTAGCAAGAGCGCCTACTAGTATTACATAAACATGAAGTATAAAAGCACTCATAAAAAAAGAAAAATGTAAAGAGTCCACGGTTCGAGCGAAGGGATCACTGCAATTCTAACTGTCACTTATTAACGATTTTTAGGAGTTTAGTTGAAAACGAACTCGGTTCAGGGCGAATTAGAAGCATCAAGTCATCGACAAAGTGACACACCTTAGCGCCGTAATTAGGTGAAAACTGACGGCATAACGTTTGCTGTGATCAGAGAATTATAACCTGTAACTTATTTAAAAAAGCTTGCATTTTCAGCAAGTTGTTAAAAAAAATTTCAGATATATTTAAATTCATTTGCTTATTCGTGACTAGCTGCTGTAAAATATGACCTACAAGACATTTGCAACAATTTAAAACCAGATCTAACTCGGTCTACTGGCAAAAAGAAAAGTTATAACCCCTCAATTGATGATTTGACCCAGTACGTTTCATAGTAATGTGAATTCCTATACTTACCGATTTCGAGAGGAAAGATTTTCTATTTTGGCATTGGAATATGCCACCAACTTCTTGAAGTTAGTTGAATTCCCAAAACTTAACTTGACTTTAAATTAAGAGAAGAACTTACCAGTTGGAACACGTTGCTGGATGAACTGCAAATGTCCTGCTCACTTCAACTTTGGAAGTGCCTTCTATTTATCCTGATTCGTAGCCAATTAATTTCAGAATTTACTTATCTGTCAGTCAACAACTCAAAACGAAATTAAACTGAGAATAATTATACATAATTCGGAAGGAGGACGGTCGCTAGGTTTCAGTTAGTGATCTCTTGCATGTTTCAGTTTAATTATAACTATAAACGGTGAACAAAGCGGCTTAACAGCTTTGGCCCCACCGTAGACACTAACGGTATGCCACAAAGAGGACTGAGATAGAGAATAGTGTCAGGAAACTAAGCTTGGTGCTAATAGCAAAACGTCACTCCGATAAAAGGTGGCATGGGTCATTGTTTATGCGCCTAATGGATGTTAGTTTAGTTGGTTAGGGCGCACTTACTTGTAACATACGCGAATATTGTCGTATTTCTCACACGTACCCAGTTTCAAATAGATATGTCGATCCCCTGAGTAAACACCTGAGTATGCACCGTAATTTCGTTTTGAGTTGTTGACTGACAGATAAATAAATTCTGAAATTAATTGGCTACGAATCAGGATAAATAGAAGGCACTTCCAAAGTTGAAGTGAGCAGGACATTTGCAGTTCATCCAGCAACGTGTTCCAACTGGTAAGTTCTTCTCTTAATTTAAAGTCAAGTTAAGTTTTGGAAATTCAACAAACTTCAAGAAGTTGGTGGCATATTCCAATGCCAAAATAGAAAATCTTTCCTCTTGAATCAGTAAGTATA